TTAATGTAGCACTCGCTTCTTTTTTTCTCTCTGCTACATTTACCGAGGTGTCAATCATTAAAAGTTGTGTCTACATTTGTTTTCTGAAAATTTCTTAAAACACATTGAATACCCTTTATTTTAGTGTACATTATCACGGTGAACACTGGTCGAAATTTCGATAAACTATTGGCAAAGCGCGACAGTGAATCATTCACGCAATTTTAAAAACGACGACAATTCATACTCAAATCAAAATATATGGCGAAAGAATGGCGCGTACATCATCAAATGCATACGAAAAATAACGAGCATAAAATTGATTGTGTGGAGTTGAAGGAGAAAAAGAGAAGTGCCGAAAACAATTGCAAATGATTTACAGCAAATGATACAATTTGAAGCTCATTAAATCCAAACAGAGCATACAAAATACATTGGGATACATACACACACACACTCCCATATGGAAATGCGTATGCGTATGCGAATGTTGACGAAAATCTTTGGCAGATTGTAAGTATGATGTTTTTGCTTCGAACAGCCAATTTGTCACATTTGTTTCGTTTTCTCAATGGCTTTGTGTGCATGATGGGGTCGCGCATTATATATATATACAACGCGCGCTCGTTTTATCTTCATTTTTCTGTTGTTCACATTTGTGGCACACAAAGCATAAATCATGGCATGATGTGATTTAATTGTAGACTCACTTACAATCACTGGAGAGATTAAGTTATGCAATGAGTAAATTACACGCGAAATTCGGAGAAATGAGCTACCACGCAACGCTTCTTCAGAACGATGGTAGTGAATCTTTCGAGCAAATTTCAACTTGACATTTTTTTGTTGTTGTTGTTGTTCGTACACTTTTTCTATCGCGAATTCAGTTCAAAACGCTTTGCGCTTCGGCTGTTGAAACACAATTTAAATATATCAAATACGAACTCAAGTAAACAAACGTTGCGTTGTCAACATTCGTGGTAGAAAAACATATTATATTTGTACCTCGATGCCTCATGTATGCAATTCGATGCCGAGTACGGCAGAATTTTCAATGCTTTTCACATGGATATATTCATTGTGTACACGATTTCCACACCATCACCCAACATAAGCCCATGCTGCACTGGGATGCAAGCACTATGTTAAACAACTTGCCAAAAAGACAACAAAGCAGTCACACTTATACACTTATCAAAACAAAAAAAACCGTACACATACACGTACAGTGCTCGTCTCGCGCGAGAAAATAAAACTAAAACAAAAGACATCAAGCGAACAATATAATACAGCGCCAACGCAATACAACACAACTGAACCGAACCGACCAAAACCAAAAACAGAATAATTAATTAATTAATTATTTTTGCTTGTTTATCTCATCAAATTAATGCCCGATAACGGGTCTTATTTCAGATGCATCTAGTTAAATCGGAATAATAGCATCAGTACTCTCGGCATCTTAGCCACCTAAATACAATTTCGGTGACAATAATTCACGTACTATCCGCGTACATTTTCAATCGCACTTTCTTTCCTTTTCTCTCGTCATCGCCACCGCCGACGTCGCCGTTCCAACATTCACATTCACTTCGGATGTCCAAAACGACGCGTTGTTTGTTGTGAATTCAATTGTTAGTAGTCGGTTCGAATGAATAATTGAATTTGCTGCTTGCGTGTAAATTTGTTGTCACTGCTTTCGCTCTCTTTTTGGTTGCTGTGTTCCAATTTCGGTATGCAAATTGAATACGCTTTGGGGAAATGGTGAACAGCAGCAAAACATTCGGTCGATTGTAAAAAAAATATGCGTGTTAAAAACAAAATGAAAACAAGAATAGCGATGTCTTTTTTACAGTTATTATAGTCGTGCCGATTTTTTTTTCTGTTACTGTTTCGGGCTACCCAATGACGTTCGCATCAGAAATGTCACTCGAAGGCACGTCTTTTTTGGCGACAACATATGTACACTTGTCATAGCATGGAATTTCAGTTTTACCACTTTTGTGGCATGGTTACTTTTTCGTTGTTCAATAGTTTACGATGCGCCACAGATAGGCGTCACGATCGTTCATTACTTTTGATCGTTACCAATTATGCGAAAAGAGAATACAGACATTTTTAATGATGTACACCGTAAAGAAATATCCAAATCATGCTTTCTTTGTCAAATATTTTGAAAATATTCTATAAATGTTGTGCGAGAAAAAAAAAGTTTTACTTTTTCGGTCAGTACTTTCTGGCATCGCATACCTGAAGAAGTTGAAAGTTACAAATGGTGAATCGTATTTTCATTGTCGTAAACGCAAACTTTTCTTACGATATAATACCATAATTCCAACCGAGATTTGGCGTTTTCTCTCCAACACTCGGCAAAAAGTTCTAATTACTTTTGTCTGTGTGGATACAGTGTGTTTTTGCTTTACATGTCAAAGCAGACAAATATTTACTATTGTTGAGCTGTTGAGCATATCTTTCTATTTCACCATACTTAAACAAACGGCCTGACTGGCGCGCGAGCGACTAAAAATGGCAAGCACGTGGTTTATTCTAATGATAAAAAAGTGTTTGTTCACGTCCTCATCTCTTGCTCTCTTCCATTCTTTCGTTTTGTTCTGGTTTTTTTTGTGCTTTTGCGTCTTTTTTTTCTTGAAATGTTTCTGATTCAGAATATCACTTTTGCTCGTGTTGAATTTTCACGTCCATCACAAATTTCAACACATCATTTCGCATTTCACATTATGTATTTCGCTCTCATTCTACTTTTAAAAGCGATATTTAAACTTTTTATTCGTTTATAATCTTCATAAGACTTGATAATTTCACTTGAAATTAACTGCATAAATAAAACGACAAAATGCGAACGAAAGAGCTGGTTGACGACTCGGAAAATGTTGGTTGGTCGATGTTGGGATATCCTGAAACTGGATAAAGTACAACGAAAAACCGAGAGAGAATTTTTTTTTTTTTAATGAAAACTCGAGGTAAATAGATTTATGATGAAGACAAACGTGAAAGATTCACGCGCGCGCACGCTCATCACATTTGTAAAACTAGTCGCACGTTGCCCGTTTGATGGTCACGATAAAATACAACGTAATCATACAGAGCAAGATGTTGCTTGGCCATTTACAATTCCTTTGTGGTTACTTAATTAAAATTTTATTGAATTTTTCGTCCAAGAGTTTTCTGCTATTCGCGTTACAACGTTTGGTTAGCACATCTAGCCTCCTTTCTTTTGCGTCTAATGGTTGTCGTTAGTTGACGATGTATGGACTGGCATTAAGCTTCATAAATAAAATGTGGCCGAAATAAAATATTCATGAATCTTAAGCAAGAATTGCATAAGTGATCTTCAGACAGAGCAGCTTAAATAGCACTACAGAAATTGAATAAATCGTGCACATTTTTGAAGAAACCTTATTTGACAAATATTTTACTGCATTCTCTAAGAGGCAGCAACATCTTTTTTTATTCTTCTTCTTCGTCGTCGTCTCTTTTTACCAATTCGACAGGAATATTACCTTCTACCGTGTACTTCGATAAGCAGCACAATAAATCCATATAGAAAAACAAACAGCAAAGAAAATAACAAACATTCTTCTAAGCACTTTTGGGTCTTTCTCTCAATCCAAGAGATTTAATGGTGTTAGAGACGATTGAGCTCCATATTATGAAGCACAAATGCTTGATTTATGCCATTGACTTCTTGATGTTTTGAAAATATAAAATCGTTAGAACTAAGCTGACACAATGAAACTCGAAAATTATTGAAGAACTCTGGGGAATAAAAATCAAGTGTATTTTTCTGCATTTTCAATTTTTTTTTCCTATTTTTAGAACTTTTTTTTATACATTTCATTTGATTTAAGGAAAAAAAAAGAATGAATTTCCCAAATTTTCTTTTCCCAATAATTTTGTCTGTCATTTAAAATAATGCACTTCATTTTGTTGTGCTAACTGTCAAATCGTGTTGACAAGAAAAATGCCAAGACTGATTTATTTCGCAACCGAAAAAAATATATGATTCAATAGCAAACGATACAAACAAAAAATCAAAGGAACGTGCTTGTCAAACAATGGCATGGCATAATCAATGGATTGCAGAGATTGTTGTATTTTGAAAATGACAGAAATTGAAATAATAATGACGATTCTCTGTTATGGTTTTCATCATTTCAATCCATTCATACTGACATTGACTCTATTCGACATGTTTTTCGTTCGATAATTCTAATTGTTTTAGTCACTGAATAAAAAAAAACGAAGCATGCATTTACAATGAACCATTTGAATGTTTTTGTTATTCTTTGGAATTTAATACAGACTTTCAATGTGTTTGACGATAGTTTCAATTGGAGGGTTCGGAACTGTTGAAGATGTACAAATCGATGCAATGAAATGCTTGTAAAACAAAAATCAAATATTCTATTTATGTTATCACCTACACTCTAAGTACGAAAATATTTCCATTTTCTTTGCGATAATTTTTGATGTGAGAACAATAAAAGATTTTCAAAATAAATTAAATTTTATTATGATGGGAATACAGTGTTTGTGTTCTGTATGTAAAATGCCAACAAATTCAACACTTTTGAACGTGAAATGGAAGATAAATATTGTAATTAAAACAAACAAAATTCCAGTGGAAACAAAAGGAACAATTTGTGTGTTAACGTAAAAAGGCTCATCTTTGGACGAGACTGATCAGTATTCAGCACACTTTCACCGAACTGAAAAGCTTGAGCTCAACTGAAAACTTTCAAATTAGTTTAATATGGTTATGAAATGGAAAATATAGGCAAAAAAATACAGACATACAACGACACGAATATCGCAAAAAGAATAAAAGTGAGAAAAGCAAAAATATTACACCAAAAAGAAACACTAAGAACGTGAAGAGAAACCACCGAAAAGGCAACAGCATACAAATAGAATCACTACGAAAAACGCTAAAGAACCAACGATGATGAAATCGGAACTGAAGAATAATAAACGGGTGGTAATATGTATGAATGACTTACCCAGTGGAATTTTTTCGGTCGATAATTGAGCGTTTAATCCGTGTGCAAATATTTGTAGAATGATTGCATAGAAAAGCAATGATGACATTGCTATTTCTCGGCGGTTGACTTTTTGACGGCGGCAGAAAATGATATGCATGATAACAATCAAAAATTGTTTGTTTGTAGCTACGTTTCGATTATATGATCTATTGTGTTCATTCACTTATTCTTTGTTTGCTGCATCGGCAATCGTATATAATCGTAAGTGAATCGGGTGTAAGCTGCAATTTGTGCAATTGCGCGTAAAACCATTGAAATTCAAATTATTCGGACCAAAAATTGTTTCTCTACTTTTTGCTGTCTTTTGAACCTTTAAATTTTATTTAAAAAGAAAACACGACTTCATATTCATTTTTTTTTATTTTTTTTTTCGTAGCATCAACGTAAATTCTCTTCTGGCATCCAGTGTGCTGAAGAAAACTTTAAAGTTTTGTCACCGTATCAACAGAACAAGTTTTGTGCTTCAATCAGGAAGAAAATACAAATTGTCTTTGGCTACTTTATTATTTAAACAGTTCAAGTAAGATGAAATGCGCGTACCGTTATGATGAGCGTCAAGAAAATCACGATAAATAACAAGAAGGAAAGTGAATTAAAAAAAAAACAAAGTGTTTTTGCTTGCGGTACTTTTTACCTTTAGTCTTTTCTTTTAGTTAATGATACAAGTTAATGTGCGAATGTAGTCATTCCCGTTAACCGAACTAAAACTTCTTTTTTTATGCAATTTGTTTCTTCATTTATTTGTTTTTAGTTGTTAGTTTGTTTCTTGTTTTGTTTTTATTATTTTCAATTTAAAGCGTCGTCACCACGACTACGTTTATTCAACAAAATGGGATTGCCGTCAATTAAAGTTAAGTAATCAATGCACAATGTCTTATGATGCTATCAAACGATCTAACCAATTCTAATTATATTTAATTCTGTTTTAATGCCACACTAACATTTCACTTGCATCGGCTCAAATATTTTGAAATCGTAAGCAGTGTTTGTAAATAAATGTACCGCGCGCTTTCTAGTTGTATCGAGTAAACGGACAAAAAGCTAAACAGTAAGCTGTGTAGATTGGAATAGCCGACATAATTTCATTCAATTTCGTCTTTTACACATTTCCACTATATTGACAAGAACTTAACCACCAACACCGTAGCTAAAAAAAAAGATCCCCGGTACTCGTTGCCGCTGCTTCGCTATTTCGAAATGCTTCTGCAAATTGAAATTTAACGGATGGCAGGCAATCTACTTAAAATAGTTTGGCAAAGGACCTTTTATAACGTTAACGCAATTAATTTACCACTGAACCAGTTCATTCAGTAGGTTTCGCCGTTGATAATTATTTTAGTTGCCATTACTTAACCATTCGAAAACTCGGATTGAATATGTATAAAGGAGATTGACAATTTACAAAATGTGCGCGCATTGGTTTCGGTGCCAATGACTGAAATCGAATAACACTTCCAATAAATATATTCGGGTTTGAATTCGGTTGCGATGGGTGATTATGATTCGAGCAAAAATCAATTTATGAACGTTGTTCTGAGTCAAAAAGAGAAAAAAAAGAAACTGTACACCAAAAAAATATTCTCACACAATTGACAAACGACACATGCTTGACTTTAACTGTTCATCGTTCGACAAACGATTTCGTGTGCGTGCGTTTGCTTTCAATATTTGCGAAAAATGACGAGAATCTCAGCGACGCTTTTCGATAAAAATGTTTGCTCTCATGGAAATTGTGTAATGCTTGTAAAATGCACGATGTTCCGAAGCGAACTGAAGATATTTTCATCTTGTGCATCAATTTTTATCCAGCTGTTGAGATACACACAGTCGACAGTGCGTCCCCAAAACAGCACACTTCTATGCTCCACGATGCCAACGATTACGCTACGCTTTTGTGAAACGCAAATGGACATGCACAGCACAGGCAGCATCGAGTACAAAGCACAGGAGGACTTTTACCACTACCGATGATGTGTGTGTGTGTGTGTGCCGCTATTGAACGAACCAGTGTGATACATATTCCACACACATCGAATCATTCCCCTTCGCATATTTTGGACAACTCTTACGAATTGTGCTTTTGATTTTAGCTTTTTGCCGTTCGTCGGTTCAGTCGTTTCGTCATGCCAGTGTGCAACTGAATTGCGTGTGTGCACGCTTTTATCATCACAGCAGCATTTTACGTGCTGCTAAAAGGATCATATAACAAAGTAACAAGAATGAAAAACGCTTACCATCAAGCATACGATGCGCTTGCCATCTCTCAACAGCATAGACACCATATTTTCTATACGACTCCTTGTTATTGCATCAAAGCTATTGCTCGCATCTCGTTCTTGTTCTCATTGCATATTGCTTTTCGTGTGGAAAATCCACTTTGTTGCATGATAATATTTACACTGGTCGACTTCGATCATTTCCACTATTTCACATCAATTCAATGGGAATGTGTGTAATTTCCGAATTTCAATGAATGTACACATTACACATTAGATAGATCGGTGAAGGCGAGGAATGCAATTCAGGATGCTTACATCACAGTATGATGATCACACAAAGGCTTCTTAAAGTAAGAAAACAAAAATTTAATACGATGCCACCACACATGAATTCAGACGGAATTTTACAACATTTGCACCACATCTCATGCCAGCAGTGTAGTCCAATAAAGCATTTTTTTGTCTCACATTTCAAATATTCGTGTTTTGTTTTGCGCACACATTAATAAAACCAAAATGTTTTCGCACATTTGTAAAGGAGCTTCAATTATATTTTATTCATATTTGATGTATGGAACATTTTTGCTATTTCTTCATTTTAAAATATTATCAGATCAAAACTTCAATGGTGATTGAGCCGATGAATATTGAATGAGAACAACTTTAACAGCAAACACATCACGAAAAGAAAGAAACGACATGAATTTATAATAATAAATGCCATGTTTCATCATAATTATGATATCATTTCACATTATTTGACCTACTTATATCTCATTTAACAAATACAACTTCTCATTTCTGACTTTAATTGAAATATGCGTTTATGTTGTATTTATATTTTTTTTTTAAATCGGTATCGAAAAGTTATCTTCATTTTATTTAACGGATGGAATGAAAAATTTATGCATATGTATTATCTAGGGGGAAACCGCGCTTTTGAATATTGCAGATAAAGAAGAGATTTTAACTTTTTTAGCGCATTTGAATAGATATAAGTACAAAATGTCAATTTTTAACAAATAAATACGCGCGGAATCCCCCTAGTGTATTATAACTAATATACTTACATATTGTTTATATAGCTTATCTAATAATGGTCAACTCTCTCTCTCTCTCTCTCTCTCTCTCTTTCTCTCTCTCTCTCTTTCTCTCTCTCTCTCTCTTGACTGGAATAAAACAGCAATAGCAATCTACCCAAATATTTATCGAAACTGTTCACTACAAATGAGCCAAATTGACATTTCAATGTAGCTGGAATTGAAACCTTAAGTATTATTGTTGTTAAAATTGTTGGTTGTTTGAGTTTCTTGTTGTGGAAGCCTTACTTGTTATAAATCTCATGAACGACACCGTTAACTGTTTAATGAACTTTTAAGCAATGTTTATTTTTCTTTACTCATGAGTCAATTCGTTTTTTTGTATAATTTAATCACATTTTACATTCAAGTTTCATAAGTGATTACCACACAATGATTGCACGGACGAAAATAACAAATGTAACCGAATAATTCTTATTTCACTCTATATTCACTTGAAAGCATTTTAATGGCTTTACGCGAAAGTGGCAAGTTTGATATGTAAACGGATTTTGGAACTTCAAATAAAAACTATTAAAGTTTCTATGTAAATAAAATACTAGATAAAATAATTACAGCACGTTGTTATTTTGTAAAACAATTTGTGACAAAACTGTTCAAAGTGGATTCAATTGATTTTTGGATTGCTGTGAAATTTGCCTAAAAATACATTCAACTGCTATGAAATGTTTTATTTATAAATATTAATTTTAACTTTGCGAAATACGTTGTATATGCGAGAGAAGTAAAACTGCACCCCCATCGTTATATTTCCATGTTTTTTTTAAAACTCTTTCAATGTAAATCCCATTACATTTTTAAAAAAATCGTAAATATTAATTAGAGGATTATTTCGCAGATTCAGTCGATGATACTGTGTGCAATTCGGCTGTTTTGGTTGAATAAAAAGTAATTATGGCCAAAGTCAGTAGATTATTTCCGATTATACCTAAGCTTAAAAGGGCAGAAAACAATGGCAAAATCGTTGAGGTTGTTTAGAAACTATCAGAAACTTTTTTTTATAATGGTCAGCCGATAGTTGACGCTGGCAACGATTTCAGCCAGAATGGTGAAATAAAAAAAAACAACCGCACACTGCAACTCCATGCCATTCAATTGAATAAACGAATTTTGCTGATTTGTGTCATCGTGCAATGCATTTATGATTTTGTTCTGATTCTCTTTTATTTCTCCATTCATTTTTTTGTGTGCGATAACGGAAAATAGCGTCATAACACAAATTCCCAATTGATAATATGATGTAATTGCAATGTCTACATCGTCTCTTTTTTGTAGCACAAATGCAATGGTGATAAAAACGACATGGACCATTTTGAATTGCGACTCACGTTTCGCGTGTTTAAAATTGATGAAAAGTCCAAAACTTTCAAGTGGAATTTTTTTTTAAACGTAAATCGTTCTGTCTCGCATTCTCGTTTTATTGCAAAATTCGGATGGAAATATGAAATACAAAGTGGCTACAACGAATATCGATTTGAAACTCATCGAAAATACAGACGCTCCAAAGTGAGTAATGGAGACTTTTCAGCCTGAGGTGTAAACATAAATTGAACTACATTTTTTTTTGCATATTTGTTGACGTTATTGAGAGTATTTTGCTAATATATACTTCTCACTTTTTATTTTCCTTTCTCTAAACAAGAGCCAAAATGAAATACAAAAAAAAAATACGATTTACTCATATTGGCAAAAAAATGTGTGTGAGTTTTTTGTTGTTCGATCGAAATGATGACACGATATGACGATGACATAACTATATGAGTGTAATTTTGTTAGATTGACATTTTATCCAGTTATCGATAAAAATGTGTGAGTAAAATCAATAGGCCGCATTCATTTTGAACGGAACATTAGCAACAGCCAAATTGTATTGCATCTTCATCACGTTCGGCTCTCGCATTACTTGAACTGAATAAAATACCGATTATCTCATGTTATTTGACCCAAGTTCGAAATCAGTTGACCCATAAACTAGAAATGAATTTCTCTGTTGATTCGAGTCGAGACCAAGTTAAGTTCAATAGAGATAAAGAAATAATAAATAAAAGAAATGAGCCGGATTTTTATATCAATTGTTGGGAAAAAAATCAGGAGTCATGAGAATCTTGATGTTGATTTGCGTACAAATCAAAAAGCCATTCAATTTGAACGAATTTCAATATTTGTTGTGTCGATAGACGAATTGAATTGATGGACAAATACGCGAAATGTACAATTGCAACGAAAGTGTGAGATAAAATGAATGTAGCAAAAACAGAGACTCAAGATAAATTGAAAGAGTGCACGAACAAAAAACACAAACACACATTTTATCGTTGTCGTGCGCATGTTGGACGTCGCGTCAAGCTTCCAATTTTAATGACACGACACAATTGAATTGTAATCGAATCTCTTCGTATTTTGACAAAGCATATAAAACATAGCATAATCAATCCGTTTTGGGAGATCAAGTACGGGATGTTACATAGTAGACAAATACGACACCGGGGAAACGATAAAAGGTGCAAAAAAACCCAAGAACGGACAAATGCGGGCGTGAAGGGTACTAAAATGATGATGCGATGTGGGTGTGAATGAAAGAGTTGATGATTGAGCATTTTTGTGTGCAGGTGATATTCGCAAATTATGTAAGGCCAACGATCGATCCCAATTGAATCGTTTGTTTCGACAATAAACGACTTTTTCCCCGTTGATATTTTCATTGTGTTTAATATGTCTGTAACCGCCACCACATTTCTTCCTTTTTTGTCTTACCCAGTCAATTTAATTTTTAACTGAAAATTTCATATTTAAAATGGTAAATGTAATAGCGAAATCAATAAACCTCATTTCCAATGTGCCTTTATTGTTTCCTGGTAAACAAAATTGAAATGAAATAGCAACGGTGAAAAAGTGGTATACATTTGAAGTAGACTTTCGCTCTCGCTCTCTTCCTCTGTCTCTCCATCTAAGTCTCTTGTTTAACTCATCCAATTTCCATTGTCTCTTCTGTTTGTTTTTGTGTTTTTATTTTCCGGTTCTTTCATCTTCGGCATTGTTTATATGTATGTCGTTTTTGTATCGTTTCGACGTTCAAAACCGTTAGTTTTATCATAAATTTGTAAGCACCTTAGTCGGTACACATTGTTTGCTCGCTTTCTCCCTCAATCATATAAATCGCGATCGTTCCTACCATCCGCTGTCCTCACTGCAGTACGTTGGGAAATGGGAAAAAATATCGCCACACATACAAATCAAACGTATATGAATCCCTATGAACGGCTGAAATGAAAAAAAAAACACAACAATTGTGTGTACTCAACATGATCGAGATTACTTTTACGCACAATGTGTACATCTGTCCTGAAAATTGTGTGATGGTAGTTTTCGTTTCGATTTGAAATGCACTTATTTGTCTCGATTTCGAATTATTGTTGTATTTGTAAGGGCA